GCGCCTGTTGAGGGAGTTGCCGTAGCTGCCGAAGGTGCATAATTCGACCTCGGTATTTGGTGATCTGGTGTTCGTTCTGTTGTGCTCGGTTCACTGCTCGAAGGAAGGCACGTTTCCGAATGGGCTGGGTGCCTGTGGTGGTCCGGGTCGTGTATCGCCAGTCACCTGCTGGCTTTGCCCAAAGGTGGGCAGCTGAAAACTGTTGGTAGGCTTCAAGACCTCCGCGGTGCATTGGAGATCTAACCCTCGCATCTACCGCTGCAATGGTGTAGGGCATGTGGAGAAGTAGAAGCACAGCCAATAGTCTGGAAGATGAGAATAGCTGTGCATTGCAGCGGTTCCGGGACTTGGGACCCGGACGGCTCGTCTTTGAGAAGGTAGAGGTGGTGGATTCCGACCTGTGTGTGGGCTGCCGAACTGCTTGAGGGTATTTCAGGAGGCAGTCCGTGCATGATTGTATGAGGTGCCAACCTTGCCATACACATGGTCCACAGCGAAGTCGCTTGTCCTTGGGGAGCTGGTACCTGTGAAAGGCTGCGAGGATCAGGTAGAGGATTACATGAAACACAGCGTGGAGGTACTCAACGTAAGTCACCGGCCGCATAGGAAAGAAGCTGCTGGTTCTGTACCTGGCTGTCCGGGACATTGAATCTGGCATACTCTGTATGGACGGGCTTGGCGAGAGTGATGTCACAAGAGATCCCCGGCGCGCAGCAGATGGACTCATGCGCGCTAGGTTCTTTTTGAGAGACCAGGGCGAGTCTGAGTGGTCTGAGCAGTCCGAGCGAGGTTGCCGTACAGCAACAGCAAAGCTCGATGGACCGAGCAATCTGAGCGCCCTGAGCAACTTGCTGGCTTGCGACTGCAGTGTGGAGGGTCTGGGCTGTAGAGGTGGCCTGAGGATCCAGGGACCTGGGGTCGCATTGTGTGCTAGTGCAAGTGCACATGCCGAAGTCCTCGCGAGAAGCTGGGGGGCCCATGAAAACTTGATACATGCCGGTGACTCATATGTGACCCTCTCAGTCGGAAAGCTCAGTTGGTCAATCCTCTCGTCCTCGCCTGAGTAGCAGCCATGATCACCACTGGGTTTGTTGATGCTGGGACTTGGCATTGTCTGAGTGACAAATTGAGGTCCGTACTTTCTGCTGGCTCGAGGCTTAGCCTGCGGAAGGGCTCCTGATGTTGTAGACGAGGCCTTGGGTGTCACCGCCGTTGAAGTCACGGGGGTCGTGCTCGACAAGATGGTGCCCGTAGAGCCGGTAGATCCCGAGGCCGTCGACGAGGGCATAGCTAACGGCATGCTTGAGGGAGCCTTGGGGGTCACATGGGCTTTCGCCGGCGTCGCCGCCTTGGTCCTCGCCGGGGATGGTACCGGAGGTGAGGCAGTAGAGAGCGCTGTGGCGCGGAGTGCCCACTCTGGGTCCACCTGGTAGTCGGGATCTTGATCATCCCCTGTAGGTATGTCCAAAGCCCGTAGTATCTCATCCCATTCAGCATCCGCCGCTGCTGCCTCCAGGCCCGCGGCCGTGTCTCTGGTTGGGGCCTCAGGCGCCTCAGTCTCAGCCATGGTGGCAGTCCCAGGCGCTCCGGCCAGGAATTCATTAGGAGCCAGCGGCGGGTCGGTGCCTGGTACATGATATGTATCTCGCGGTGGCGTTCCGTCCCCCACCCACATCACATGGGGGTGGAACCGATCCGAGGGCCTCATTGGGCGGATGTCCATAACCAGACCTGCATGCTCTTGCCAGTCGAAAGGTGGGTGCGTGAGCACCTCTTGAATCTGCCCTCCCATGGACTGAATCACTGTGCCAAGCGCTGCCGAGAGGTTGTACGAGGCTTCACGAAGTACCCATATTGGCCTCGGCGGCGGAGGTCCCCTTGGAGGGGAGTTCGGATGGGGCGAAGCCGTGGAGCCGTCCGACGCTGGAGGATCCACCTCCTCTTCGGGGGCTTCATCAGCCATGGCAGCGGGATCACTGCCTCCTTGCCCACCTGGAGCTCGCTTCGCACTTCCCTGTCCTTGAGCCCTGTGATATAGCGTGACAACGCAATTGCCGGTGTGGCTGCACAGCAAGCTAGTCAATAT